TAGCGTGAGAAAATATTATTGATCACCTTTAAACTGCGTAGGTGAAACGACTGCGCTGAATCATGATGCACACTCTTTTCACGTCAGTTGCAAATGACATCTTAAAATACAGTTAAGCTTATACTTTACAGCTCTTATTACTTTTGTTACGTTATTTTACAATCGCAGATTGGAGTCGTAAATGGCAGTGAGGAATACAAGCTGGGAGTTTTGATGAATGCAGAAATGAAGAGTAAGATATATATGTTATAGAGTTTCATTCACCCTTGAACCCGAAAGAGTGACCAGCACCTGATTTTTCCTTACAGCAATACTTGTGAATTATACAACAAGATCGGGAGGCTCGAACCGCGCATGTAGCGCGCACGCAGCCTCGTGTAACTAAGTAACACTCCGTTTTTAGGTTCAGCTTAATCTTAAATTTCATCTTGTATTGGTTGAAGTTTTCTGTTAACGATGGTCAAGTTTAACTATCTTTCGATCAATGATTGCTTCGGTGAGGCGTCATCTTCTTTTGCTATAAACACAAGAACCGTTCCAAACTTAAGAGAAAACAGCAATCTAAAATTAAAAACGTCACGATTTTCACGTGTTCTTTTCTATGTACAGTCTTTCCCACAATATACGGTGTAACGCACGCTTTACTCGAATCGAAAATTGACGGAGCATTCGTGGACAGCTTCACGATAACTGCGCACTTGGACACTATTAAAAGCCATCCAATCAGGACTGAGCGAACGATTGAACATCCGGTGACGTATGGTATGGTTTTGGCAGGAAATTCAACGCGCATGGCAGATTGCGCCAGGCGTTATCTTGAAAACTACCCGAGGAAAGTTTTTCAGAGAATCGCTGATCACCTCAAGCCCTTGAAAGTAAGTGTTTTGTTCGTTTTTTGTTTGCTTGATGACTTGTTTTGACTTGTTTTGACAAGGGAATAATTGACTTGTTTACATGTTGACTTGTTTGCTTGATTGAACAAGGTTTTTAAATGACACGCTTTACTCAAGAGGGTAAAAATATCATGTGGTCCATTTTACTTGCTCCGGTTGGAATACTTATCTTTTGGTCTTTCCTCGAAGAAATTATCAACACCAAATAAACTACGTATACTATTGTGGATCATGGCGGCTGAAAAGTAATAAAAAGTTTTTTCATTTACATGTCTTTTTAGGAGAGAGAGATACCACTATGCACACCACTTTACTTTTTACAGTTCCTTGCTAAAAAAAATGGGCTGGGAAAAAGTTATGTCTCCATGCAGACGAACTCTAAAATTTCAAAAATAGTTTCGTCGCCAGAGTCCTGAAACTGGGAATGGCAACAGTCCCTGTTAAGGAATACCCTAACCCGGACGTTCACACCACACAATCATCTGTTACTCTTCAGTTCGAACCATTTAATCGTGCTTTGATTATTTCCAGAATCCATCAGACTCGATCAGCGAAGAGGTGATGGCAGCTGAGAAGTTATTTTACGAAGAAGGTGCTTTCAAGCTGATTGTGTACTGCGGTGTCGCCATTCTGGGATTACTCTTTATCGCTGGGCTGCTGTACGAGGTTCTTGCTAAGAAATATCTGCAGCGTAAGTCGAGCTTAGCTATGTATATACTGATTTAATTAAAAAAGCTTGTAAGGTATGCACTCCTGTAACTATTTCCCTGAATAATCTCTCTTGACACTTCACTGTGAAATAACTAAATAACTAGATCAAGAACTCGAGATTTCTATTATATAATAGTTGACGAGGGAGAAGACCAAACTAGTCTTTACTCAAAGGAATCGAGAGCGAATAATTTGATTGTTTGAGAATAAGTCTACTAGATGTTCAGTAATGCAGTCTCGTGTTCTTATTAAATCTTGTTTCCAAACGCACACAGTTAGGCCATTCACTCCAGCCATAATCACAGAATAGAAAGCGAGTAGTGTAGCCAATTGGATTGCAGCATTTGTTATATGAAGATATGTAGTTGCAGGTTTTAATACTTACCATTTTTTAGGGATAGTCCTCATGAAACGCAAAATAGAACTCCCGCAATCTTTTAATCCTACAGGATGATGCATTGCTAAAAGATAGCATTGTTTTTTACTGCAGCGAAACGACTGAGAGAGGAGAACAACTACCAGAACGTTGAGTTGGTCAAGCAAACAAACCCGGCTGATGACCAGGCCTCCAACCCAACTGAGGGCGATCTGGAAGAACTTCTACAAGATTATAAGGCTTTCCACGACTCTTGGGTTGCAAAGTGTAAAAGGCTTCATGGGAAACCATACGGCTGTTAAATCCAGCAGATTGTCCCGTTTAAACACAGGACAATTATTGTCTTAAGAACATTCTTTGTTTTATAGTTTATTAAGGTGTAATTATTACTAAGGTGTATCACTGAAATTGAGTCGGTGTTTTATTGACTTAGCCCCCTCAGTAGTTTCAGTAGTTTCAGTCAAAAGTCACATGGTAGTGCAAAGCAAATCAGACTCCTCACGGTCAGTTACATGGAGTAAGATTCGGGTACGAGATCAGCACGTCATCTGAAGACCATAACTTGGGATGCAAGGGGAAAACATGGTAACTCTTTTTCAAGTGCAGTTTGCTCTGGAATATCTTAGAAAATCGCACTATTCTCACAGACAGGAAAATGTGCCGGATAATCATCTTTTTAGAACCACTAAAACAACAAATTAAGGTTTAATAGTTAACAGAAGCTGTGTCACAAGGACGGGAATAAGGGTAGCGTGTTTACATCCGTGTTACCACCAAATTCAGACCATTATTAAGATCATTCGTTTGGAAGGTTTGCAAATGTACAGTTTTTTACACTCAGTTGAGTGCACGGGGCAATGAATAAACAAGATATTTTTTGCCTTCCAAATAAGTCATCACATGATTCAGATTGAGTGGCAACAAGGTTGTAAGCAGGTCACCCAAATCCGTCTGTTTCCTTTTAACACTACAGTAACGGCTTTGTGTTATTTCGGCTTCTCGTTGGAGTAGAGCCAGGCTCAGAAAAATTTTACATCTTTTTCCGGTTTTTATGAGCTAGCCCAGTGGCACCCAGCTAACATAGTGTATGTCCAAAGATGCGAAAGTTCTTTTGATATGATGAGGAAAAAATTTACCTTCTACCCACGACATACTATCATATTGAAATAAGACCTGAAATCCAAAGCAAGAGTAACTGGAATCAAGTCGCTAAGCCACTGAGTTAAAACGGCTAATATCGGAATGGACAAAAGAGCTTAGACTTCACCTCATTCGATAAGTTACACAAAATACTACACTTTTTATCGTTATACCGCTATGATAATCCGCAAGCTGAAGGCATATAGTTTCAAGCCTTTTCAAACTAAGCTATCGTATCATTATACTTTTAGAAATTAAGCAAGATCTCTTATACTGATTTAACTCAAAATGTTTCTTTTTTTCCAAGGATTTACTGCGATAGGGAACGACCGGTTTTTCATCGATCATAGTAAATTAGTTATCCTCTTTATGTTGTAAGGAGATAAGGACGTGTTGGTCATTCATGGTTTTCTGTGAGAAAGCTCCACCTTTTACCCCTACCCTGTTAACATCCGGGAAGTGTTGCTGTATCCTTGGGGTAAACTTGCTTTTTTGTGGCCTCAAAATGCATCAAAGATACACCTTGTGTCTCGGGTGTGGGGTCTTGGTTGGGTTGCCGTGGGTTGCACCACTTGGAGCGATACTAACCAAATATCATGGAAAACTATAACTTAAGATAAAAGATTTGAAAAAATAATGGTGCTGTTGAAGTTTTTGCTTTACAAATATTAAGGAAAAGTTAAATCAGAATGTCGCCCACAAAACTCAGTACTTGACCTCTGGGAAACTGTAACAGAACCTTTCCTAATAAATTAAAGCCCAATTTTACTCCTAGTCCAAACCATTTTAACTTTGCCTGGAACAACCACAATGACACGGATGACATTCCACTTCCTGAGGAAAATACCAAACCCGGTCTGACGAACACGATATTGTCAGACTACCGACCTCTAACGAGGAACTTACGAACACATAATCGTCCTTTTACCGACCTCACACGAGAATCAGACGATCAGCGACCTCTCGCGAAGTTCTGACGAACGTAATGCCGTCCAATTACCGAAATCAAAGATGTTCCCTACAACAGTATTCGCTTACAAAAACAAGAAAAAAAAAATTTTTATTGAATAACCTTGAAACGAGACCTAACTCTAACTTTAAACAATTTTTAAATAGGTATTCAATGTTACTTGGTGTTATGTACATGCCCTTCGCAGGAGCATTAAAAAAATCCTTTAATAGAAGAAATAACACTTCGATTGTGCTGCGGAAACATTCTTGAACTAAGTCCTGAACCCTTCGGTCCTATTGGTCATACAGGTTATACAACGAGACTCTGAGATTTAATCCAAGTTCCAAGTGTCCCTTGTAATTACTTAAGTTTTGATTACATACAGCTTAATCGAAAAGTACAGCCTTCATTGAATGCGGCTGACCCTTTAAATATTGATAACTTCGAGTTATCATGGACAGCACATTTATGAAACAACGTTTCAGGAACACGCTTTCATAATTATTTTACTGGGACAGCGAAAACTGTACAGATTAACGCAGATGCAAAGAGTGTTATTAGAGCACCTAACTGCCCTCCTTTCAGCTTTCAATAAGATCCTACACCCCACACAGGTTAGTCAGGTAAAGGGGATGGGAGGTTTTAATACATACTTGTTTGGGCGTGTGTGGTTCCTTTTCAAAACCGATAACCCACATAAGGTAAATCAAAATGTTCGTATTGACTTGAACCTTTTCTTCAACTTTTTCTTTTTAAGTTCAAACTTAAGGTTTCACCTAAAAAACAATACTTCATGCTAATTATTATACTTTAACCCTATGCAAAAATTAAATCATCTGCCACAGTAAATTTTCCAATTCCTACAATTCGGATTAATTGTTACTACAACTAAAGGTTGTGCATATTGTAACGTAAAGATTTAAATAAAGTGGTCAAATTAGTCATCTTAATTTGAAACAGGATCGAGGAAGAACACAAACATCACCTCTAAAAAAGATAAATTACCCTCTTAACTCCAAAAGAGATCGACAAGTAGCTTCCCCTCACAATTTTACGTACATCATCCAGCCCATAGGTAATGAGAAGACACAAAACCATCAGCTGGAGGGTGCAATCTTGGTATAAAATGAAATTCACCAAACTGATCCACAAAGAAATGTAATGGGGCCTTGGAGAAAATTACTTGGTAGGTTCTGGGAGTTTAGGGGTTAAAGCAGTACGGTTTTACACAGCGACTTTTTCATCATCTCCGTTGGGAGTGCGACCGTTGGCATTTCGATCAGCGGCTAATTCTTTATCGCGAAGCTTCTTCAATCCTTCAATTAAGCGGTCATGAAACACTTGGTATTCGGTTATCATCATATCCAAGGTGGCATGTTTAGAGTTGTCGCGAGGGTGAAGTTTAACTTCGTCCTCGCTGACTGAGTAAGAACCCTTAGGAGCAAACTGCATACGCTGATTTCCTGAAGGAAGAAAAATGTTTGTTGACTATCAAATATTCCCAATTAATTGCTGCATCAAGATTCATCACGGGCTGTTAAGAAGATGAAGAGTTAACTTGTGTAACACTTCATTTACAACAATAACGACGACGACGACGGTTAAAGCTTACAACGAAAGTTGAAATACAACAGCATCACTAATATCAAGTTTCAACCAAAATAAACTAAATTAGAACAGATGCTACAACAGCTTTCTTTATGATTTTAAGGATGAATTTTATGGCAAAGACAAACGACAAAAATGAACTCTGATTTTTACATTTTTCCCATATTCCTTATATCAGCCTTAACTAGAAAGAAAAACTAGAAAAAAAACTCTTCTTCATATCTATTGCGAATATTTTAACTAGAGTGTGAGCACAGCCGAAAGCAGACGGTAAAAGAAGTTCCAATTTGAATTTGCCGTTAACTCCAAACTAAACTACAAAAATCTACAACTTCAATGGCGATCATCAATGACAGAAGGTCGAACAGTGCGAAACTCTTAGCGTGGCACCCTTTTCTACGACGAAGTTGATTTAAATAAGAGTACTTTAGTCTTCAAGCGTTTAAAAGGAAGCTGTCCTGCTTATATGTACGATCTACTCAAATTTAACGCCGACCTACACACACGAACTGGTCGTTATAGTAAATTTCATCGGGCCTGCCCTTTTGTCAATCGCGAAACCGAGGGAGAGAGGACCTTTAGCGTACCTGCGACAAGATTGTGGAACTAACCACCCATAAACCTAGAGAAAGAAGCGACAAAAGTTGCGTCTTTCAGAAAGCTCTTTCACAGACATTTTTCAACGAGCTATGATGAGGTAGAACATTTCAGTCCGAATGCGATTTAACCTGGCCCAACTATTATTAATTTTTATCTAGTTTTTAGCTTAAATTTCAATATAACTGTCGATCAGTTTTATACGAATACATTTCAATTCTACTTATAGTACTTTTAGAATCGGGGGCCACTAGTTCATCAGTTGAATTATTGTTGTGTGTTACCCTCCTTAAATATAGTTGTGTTTTTTTTTTTTTTTGCCTGGAGAACATGTAAGTCAACATAAATAAGAAATTCTTTTCAGTAGTAAATGTTACCAACAAATCTGGATGAAACGCAAAGATAAACATTGACTGATTACATCAATAAGAATAACATTCAAATATTAGTACACCTGTGAGGGAAATAACTCAGAAATGCTTACTTATTTTCGGTCTGCGATACAAGAATTCCCAAGAGAAGCCAGCAATAAAGAACACAGCGGCGACACCAAGTCCGATGTACATGACGAGAGAAAAGACATCTTCTTGATAAAACAAACCTTCTGCAGCTTTAAGCTGCTGGTTTTCGTCATCAGTCGGATTCTATTAGAATAAATGCAAAAGAAACTCATGTTATTTCCACGTAGCTCGATAACTTGAGTCTTCAGTGAGAGGAACTTAGAACTACATGTAAAATCATAAATGATTTTCAATTTATATGCCCTGCATTTTGTTTGATTGTTTTTTTTTTGTTTGGTTTGATTTTTTGTGGCGCTTACGTGGTGCCTTTTGGTTTCTTTTCACATGAGCTCTTTAAGAGTCTTTAAAATGACCCCCACTCAAATTTCCGTTTGGTTTTCTATCTTGTTCAACCGGATGGAAAAAATTCGATGACTTCATAAATCTCATAGTGCCAGTGAAATTTAGCGAACACTGGCTTGACACAAGAATTACAAGATTAAGAAAATTGAAAAGAAACAAAAATTGCTGTTAACGCTTACCTTGAGTGGCACCAAATTATCTGCAATGATTTCAAATATCTCCTGTGGGTGATTCTGTAGGAAGCTTCGAACACATTTCTCAAACCTTGAAGAATTCTTAGGTAACACCACTCCATAGGTGATTGAGTGATCGATGTACCTCTCGATTCTGATTGGTTCTTTTTGAATCAGGTTCAACGAATGGGTGAGGACGTAGTTATCCACTAGAGCACCGTCAATTTCGTGTGCCAAGAGAGCTTCCGTCATTTTCATCACGTGAGGGAAAACTAAGGTGGTAGAAAATTGACCACTAAATGATACATATACCCTATTCGATGGTTTACTATGTAATACGCACTGACATTTCGCAATGGACAAAATGTCCGGGTCTGGAAATTGAAACTCGGAATGCCCTAATATTCGTAACAGCGGAAAAATGAAGCGCAATATTTTGCAGGAGCGCATTTCTATTGAATGTTGCAAAACCGGAACCGAAGTAATAAAAACAGCCAATCAGAGCGAAGGAAAAAATCACAAGGATAATGATGAAAAGTATACACAAGCAAACTGCCTAAAGCGCTATTAGACGCGAGTGAACAAGTGTTAGTTTTCGATCTTAACCTGGTTGGGAGGATAATGCAAGTTTTCTGGACCAATCACATAGCGACGTAAAGCAAAACCAAAGCAATCAGAGATTTTTTTTTGACGCTCAATGGCAAATTGCTCTTCACAAAAAATAGGATTAGAATCATGAAGTAGAATAAGACTGTGAACAGGATAAAGAGGGATTTTATTCATATGTCGCGAACTTAGGGCGAAAAAAAATACGGCCCTCGACCAGTCTCCTTGCCCCTTCCCCCGCGAGGACGTCGCGTTGGTAAGTACGTGTACATGAAGAGAGATGTGGAGTCTGAGCCCGGTCGTTGACTGAAGAAAAATGTTATAAACAATACAGAAGACCTGAGAGGAATACAGAGAGGGTGCGAGAGAATGATGTAGTTAAACCCAAAGGTAATCTCAGTTCAACGATTTCCTTAATTGTCCAACACTTTTACGCTTAGCCTCGTTGACATCGCAAGGATGTGTTCTAACATCACTGTATATAACTGATGCATATGTGATACCTTTCATGTCAGCATTCATGGTCACACCAAGTTTGAACTCCTCACTCCCATTCACTGCTCCGATCTGCCACAGGATGTAAAAAAATAAACAAAAAGTGAAAAAAAAATAGGAATAAAACATAAAATGAACCATTAAATAAGCAACAGGTAGAGTGAAATAGTACAAAGATGACTTGAGAGAGAACACAGCGAGCTAAAAATATTAACGAGAAGAACTGCAACGAAGCTCATTACGTATTTTCAAGCCGTCCTATGTAGTAAAAGAATGTGAAATCCCAAAATTTTGGTTTTATGTGAACACGAAGGGCGAATTAGTTACACTGCTATAAACAGTACGACTTAGAGTTGCCTTTGCGTGCTAAGCCGAAGAGAGCTCTGGCGATGTTAGTGACGGTTAGCATTCTTGAGTCTTTAAAATTCTTGACACAACAGTTGTCATTCAATAACGTCGATGTTTTCCTAAGCATGTCACCGTCCCCGGTCAAGACTGCTGAAGCCTCGCAACGTTTGAAGACGCTGACGATGACAACGAGGAACAGGAGAATTAGCGGAAGAAAAGTGAAAAGAGAGTATTACTACTACTATTAATTAACTTATATAGCGCAGATATCAATTGGGGTATTTTTAATCCGAGCTTTACAAAAATATAACTAAAAGTAAAAAATAATAATAACTAATAAATATTGATACTAATAATTAATACAAACAAAATAATATACCGTATAAAATAATTAGCAAAATGATATGTAATAGGTTCTTAGTAAAACCGATAAATATATGGCGCGTCGATAACATTTCATGGTAGAATTATTTTATAACAAATCAATAAATAAATTAAGGCCCCTCAGCTATTGAAAACAGTTCTCTTTAATAAAAAGTTCTTGGTAATATCTGCTTTTTGAGCTTCTAACTGAAGGAAGCAACACATTTTAAAGGTCAGGTGCTGCTAAGGAGAGAAGGAAAATACATTTTTTTTCAGGAAAGAAAAAGGATGCTTTACAATATACCTTTGAACCGTGAATTTTAAAAATCTGCACGGTACTGGCAGATAACGAAGCTGTCACCAGGGCTGTAAAAATCGATATGATGATAACACCTGTTATAATCCACAGAATACAGAACACACGACCAAGGGCTGACTTAGGAGAACGGTCACCATACCTGTGATAAAGTGTACCAATAACTATAAGATTAATCATTCAGTCAATGAGTCAATAAAACAATCAGTCAATCAAGCTTGAGACAGAGTGAAAGGGTTAACGCTCTGAAGAAGGGCTAACGCTCGTAACGTCAGCTTTAGAAAACTCTTTACGATAGCCAATTTACGTTATCAACTCAGTTGATAAAACCAAATTATCTTGTAATACCTTCTACCGACGCGAAACCAGTTTCTTTAGAAATCTACCCCCATTTATTCAATCAGTCGATGAGTCGATCAGTTGGTCAGTCAGACAGTCAGTCATTCATCAGTCAGTCAGTTGGTCAGTCAGTCGATCAGTCAGTCAGTCATTCATCAGTCGGTCAGTCAGTCAGTCATTCAGTCATTCATCAGTCGGTCAGTCAGTCAGTCAGTCATTCATCAGTCGGTCAGTCAGTCTGTCAGTCATTCATCAGTCAGTCAGTCTGTCAGTCAGTCATTCATCAGACAGTCAGCCACTCAGTCATCAGTCAGTCAGTCAGTCAGTCATTCATCAGTTGGTCAGACAGTCAGTCAGTCATCAGTCAGTCAGTCAGTCAGTCATTCATCAGTCAGTCAGTCAGTCATTCATCAGTTGGTCGGTCAGTCAGTCATTCATCAATCGGTCAGTCAGTCAGTCATTCATCAGTCGGTTAGTCAGTCAGTCAGTCATAAGTCGGTCAGTCAGTCCATCAGTCATTCATCAGTCGGTCAGTCAGTCAGTCAGTCATTTATCAGTCCATTAGTCTGATAGGTATTAATTCAAATGGGTAATTTAGTATTATTGATAGCGTAAATTGGCTAACGCTCGAAACGTCAACCTTTAAACTCTTTCCCCCCTTTATTCATTCAAATAACCTACCAATAATAACAGTTTCAAAACAAAAAATTAAATCAGGTTTAAGATAATAATCATAAAGTAATATTCAAGCATGATTTTGACAAACAACTACATAAATGTTAAATCTACTAAGAATAATTTGCCTCAGAAAAATATACGAACCCCACAGTTGTCATAGTAACAAGTGCCCACCAAAAGCCTTCCCAGGAACCTCGTAGAAATGGTGGCGGGAATTCTCCAGGGTTGCTGGTGTGATCCTATAGACAAACAAACAAATAAAAAGTGATAAAAAAAATTATTCCTTAAGTGTTGCCAAGCTGAACTTCTCAACGTCTCAGGACACGGGGGTGGATGCTACGCGAAGTAGCCCAAAAAGTACTCTCCGTTTTTATAATTTGAGTTTCCTTATTATTTGTTTTTGTATGACGCACGGACCTCGCTGCGCTTAGTCTTTGCGTCATGACCTCAAGACAAATATCTTTCCGTCTGGCCCTCCCACTCAGTCAATAGGTACACATCATTGATACAGACTCAACAAATACTAAACACTTAGTTTCTCAGACTCGCGGCGTAGCCGAAAAGAGTTCGCGTTTCGTAAGTCTAATTGGAGTTTCAGTGTAAGTCATTGGTAGAATAGGAGGAACCCCGTACAAACTCAGAACTAAGCCAAAAATCATCTTTGGTTGTTAGATCCCAATCCAAAACCTACTCCAATTTTCAAAAAATATTCTTGGGTATTTTCAACAAAAAAAAACAACAAAAAATCCAGCTCACCAGAAACCAAATGATAATCCCAGAGAGTGAAGCTGTAACGAGTATAAACACCAGCATTGGCCAGGCGTTGGCTATTGTTGTAATCAGAACGTGAGTTTGAGTCTTGTCGGGTTGGTCATTGTGCACAAGAAGAATAACACGAGGTGCCTTGACAATACTGATGAACGGCCGGTCCCTGGTATCGAAGAGGAAAAAAAAAAATGATTGCTGAGTTATCTCAAAAAGGTTATAGTGGTTTCCCTTATTTCTCTACTATTCGCTTCCACGCACTAACGTTTTGAATCAGGGACAAAAGTTAGTTTTATACTTCACCCTTTAACTCCCAGAAGTGACTAACGTGTTACTTCTCCCAATAATTTCCATACTATATTTAGCAAACAGTTAATTGAGAATACCCAAACTTATCAGGTAGAAATTGTTATCTTGATCTTTCACCACATTCTCGCAACTAATTTACAAGGAACTGTTTAGCAGCAAGAGGGGAGAATTAAAAATCAAATCTTGGGAGTTAAAGGGTTAAGAAATACGGAACAGGATCTCTGTGATGTACGCGACTACAGGTAATGTAACAATCAACTGATTTAGATCATGAAATGGAATCTGGTTGCAATTGTTTAGAGAGTGCGCAGTTAAAACCAACCATCGTCCTTTATACAATAAGCTGCTGCATCACGCCGGCGATAAGCTTCATCACGCCGGCAATAAGCTGCATCATACCGGCAATGAGCTACATCACACCGGCAATAAGCTGCATCACGCCGGCACGCATTTTGATTGGCTCTCACTTACGATTTTTGGAGAATAGAGGCCTAGATGACGTCACATCTGTGACACTCGGCTCTAGGCCTGTCCCGATTGTGCTCGTAAAATGCTGGCAAGTTGCTCACTGGAATATCAAAAAGTTGCTAAAAAATTGACTAAAATCCGAAAAATTGTTACCCGAATTTCAACAGTTGCCTCCCACATATCTTGATATTTTTCATATAAACGTTAATCAAAAACCATATTTTTCGTTCATCGCAATAATGAACTGAACTTAACTTTAAAGAGTTGCTCACTAATAAAGACAGCTTCTAACCATCCATTTCCGTTCACGGAAAGTAAATAAACGATAATACGCCCGCGAAACATTCAAGAAATTTGCATAAAGTGAAGGTTTTTTTCGCGAAATCTTTGACTTTATTGTTCTTTGTAAGTGCCCTAAACCTAAAAGTTGCTCAAAAAATGCTCAGAAAGGCAAAACTCGCCCGTGGCTGTTAGAACCACACAAGGGTGCTACAAAGACCAAAATTTGCTTAAAAGTTGCCGTGCACAATCGGGACAGGCCTTTCTGCCTCGTGTATTCTTATCACATTTTGATGTCGTCTGTGATCTATTACTGAAAGAAGGCACGGCAAAACTTATTTGTTAAATAGATATCCAGTGAACAAGTATCCTGATAGACCCTTAGAACAATTGCCTTGATGCAACACCACATTCACGAAATTGGCCAACATTGACATACATGATGAAATAGCTCTAAGATCTAAGGATAAATTACGCATATTGCACATGCTGCGAAGTTACCTGAATATATCTGAGTTGTCGTATCCGTAGATAGGAAACGTCAAATCAAACCTGTCCTTTTCAATGTCGTTCTCTACGCTCCTTACAGACTTAGAAAGTTTTCCAAACAAAACGTCAGAGTTCTTATTACAACAGCCCGACAAAGCAGCCTTCAGAATGCCCGGAAACATGCCGTCAACCGTTAGACCCGTGCTCCCTTTGTTCTTGGTTTGATAGACGGTGGTGTATGGGGAGTACACGTGCCAAGCGATGGATATGGGCAATCCAGTTGCACAGCGGTAGTCTAGGGAGTAGTTCGTCGCCAGGTCAAAGTAATGCTGTAGCTTTTTACTTCGCCTCGGAGAATTGTCCAGCGCCAGTGTAGGGAACGGGATGTGGAAGGAAGTTTCAGAGTGATTCCTTTTCGACCAGTAAGGGAGAAATATGGCTTCAGTTTCCGGGGCGAACTTGGTAAGTGTTGCGATGAGAAATAACAAGGAAAACATGGCTTCAAACCCTCAGGAATGGACGCTTAAATTGACAAAGAGAAAAAAAAAGAGAAATTTAACAACGTAAGCCTTTTAACTGATGCGTTTAGTAACTGAACCGCTTCGGGCGGCTGGTATGTCGCCTTATAATTAAAGAGAAAAATATCCGAAAAATAAATATGTAACCAAGAAGTGAACCTTCTGGAAAAAATGAGAAATTGTGAGGACGATCAGCCAAGGACATTATCAGCCGACATACCAGCAGAGCCAGAGGAGGGGTGGCGTGTTATTATTTTATACCTCCAACCCCCTCTCCCACCCATTAATTTTCATATTGCGTGTTGACAGCATATTTTGTTAAATTTTTTCAACCTTCCGGAACAGTGTTTGAGATCAGCTTTTTGATATCATTATCACTTGACTCTACAAAACGAGTTTGTTTTTTCTCCATGTAAAATAATAAGGTTGAAAAGGTGAAACAATAAAACTAGCTTTTTTTGTCTGGCTTTTTTTCTTTTCAACGATAATCATTAGAGGGCAAAAACGTGATAACCGTCCTGCGATTTGGCATCACGTGACGAAACTAGCCAATAACATAGCGCGAAAATGAATGGGTGGGTTGTAACATTCAATATCTTGTGCGTAATGGATTGGAATAACGAAATAAAGGTAGACATCCCTAGAAGCCATACGTAATGAATTGTATACTGTTTCTCGCTCGCTTGGAATGTAAGTCAATGGATCATATACATCAACAGACCTTTATACCATAGCATTAATAGTCTTCATTCCGAGGTCACAAATATCAAACAACAGACTAAAAGCTAAGTTTGCGTTTTGTGTCGGAAAGACGGAAAAAAAATTGAAATATAAAATCTTCCACAGGTAACAAATAAATTTCTCCTTATTCTTTCAATCATTAATGCTTATTTTTCTCGTCTTATTCGTTTAATCAATTTATAATTAGTGTTTGACGTGGTCACCTTGACCTACTTCTCGCATGTAAACAATTCATTGATTATATTTGACTAAATTACCACCAATTTATATGTACACAGTTTGGCGGTCGAGGACGTTGTGTTATGAAGCAGCCTTAAAATTCAGATGTTGACCTTTCACTCCGTTCAACAGCCATTCTGAGGCTAACTTTGGTAACTATCGCAAACGATCTTTTCATCATCTGTGATGAGATGGAAAGGTATATTCTGCTCTCTCAAATACATTTCTCAAAGGCAAACGTTTATGGAATGATGGAATGTATTACAGAGTAGAACATCAAAGCAGCCCTATTGTGTTCAATACTTAAGAGAGCAGAGAAAACTGAAATTTATGCAAGACAAAGATCTTGTAAACATCGAGCACAATTTAGATAACAAAAGCACAAACCGTATCAAAGGTAACCGATATGCCAAGCGGTAGAAAAGTAATTAATTTGTCTCCGTATGATATCAATGAAGAGTGCTTGAGGTTCTTTAACCTTTAAATTGCCATATTGGTTAATTACTTACTCTCTCGTTAGCAGCGCTTTTACTGTAATTACATTCGAGGAGTCCTTACTTTTGAGGTATCACCTACGTTTGATTAACGTAAACGTTTACCGGAAATGGTTGTCCGAAGCTAAGAACGTGTCAAAACGTGTTAAAATATAACTGCAGTTTTCTGTATTCCAAATATAGAAAAAAAATGTTAGTGGTTACAGCGAACTATTCATATACGAACGAAGATGATAACATCTGTCATTTCCGTTAACTTTGGTTAAAAATAAAATTACTTACGCGATTGCAGATTTGCCACTACTTTCTGAATTTGTTTGTAAGGATGGAATTTTATACCTTCTTTCGAAAATTAACTTTAATATGAAAAAAGATTACTTGCTCTTTTTGGAAATTTCATCACGAGACTCATCAATATTGTTTAAGCTAGAGGTACTGTTAAAATGATAATCCGTAACCTAACACTTTTTGAGTTACGAATGGATACATGCTTGTTCAGAAAAGGTCCAAATTTTAGCATCTTAATCACAACTAAGCTTCAAAATACTCTCGCATAACAGAAAGCTCCCAAAACAACTACTGATAAACAACAAAGACAGAACCTAATTTAAAATCTCACCGACAGATACAGATTGCACAAGAAAACTATTTTCACCAATCAGATGACAGTGACCCTGATCATTAATTGAATTTAACTCATTAATTCATTGTTCAGTAATCGACATTGATGGATCTGTGAGAGTACGCCCCAAAAGATATCGGAGCACTTTCGCAAATGTTCATTGACATCTAAGAATTGATGGCCTTGTACACTGAGTTTTTAGCCCTTTCTTCTCAGGGTCGGTCATAATAAGCGAAATGTCAAGAATGATTATTAAGGAACCGTTGGTCCAATAAAACTTGTAAAACTGTTGACCTTTGAAGTGAGATGAAATACTTTTAGTTTAAGCATGATGAAGCTCGTTGATTTAACTGTTAGTTGTCTGGAGAAACATAATTTGCCCCAAAAGGCTTTCCTAATGTTTTCACAAATGAAAAACAGCATTTTCCTGTGATTTATTGATAGTCAGACTTCTTGTACACGTATT